CTTGGGACAAGTCCTTTCTTACCAATCTTATTTAATTCTCTTGATACTTTGAGAATTGGGTGGGTCAGGTGTAATTAGCAGATGACAGAACTGAGGCATTGAGTGTGTATTTTGTTTAGGATCACACAGCCTGTATTAGAGCCAAATTAGGACGTTAGTGGCTTCTAGCCCAAACTCTGTCCTCATTTCCTCCCCTCCCCTCTAGTTATTGGTATTTGAAAGGTGGGAGTAGAATGAAAAGTTCCTGAATTCTCCACATAGGTCCTAGTGGTCAGTGGACTCATGGATGGTTCTGGCTTGCTTTCACACTTTTTTTTTCTTACTGAAGTCATGCAGAGCCTCCTACCTGGGACAGATGTTCTGGGATTACATCACCATGATTCCTACAGTGCCTTTTCCTTTCAGACCAGTAAGCAGTTGGCGGCAGCATTCCAAGAAGAGTTCACAGTGCGAGAGGACCTTATGGGACTGGCAATTGGGACTCATGGTGCCAACATCCAGCAGGCCCGAAAAGTACCTGGGGTGACAGCCATTGAGTTGGGTGAAGAGACTTGCACTTTCCGCATCTACGGGGAGGTCAGCAAAAGATAACTGTCATCTAGGTTTCTTAGCATATACAAAGAGAGGGTGAAGTAGAATGGAAACCTGAGTCATGTTGCTCTCCCTCCCTGACTTTGGTGTCAGTGCATTTTCCCAAAGACAGTGTGGCAGGAAGATTGTTTGAGAACCAGGTCCTCTCTCTCTCTCTCTTTTTTTTTACTTTACACGTAACTATTCAATTCAGAGAAACAGGTTTTTATGAGCTGCAAATACTGTCTGGTCCCAGGACTCACCTCCATGTACCACCCATACAAGTTTTCATGGAAGCAGTTTTTTTCTCAAATAAATTGCAAGTTCCTTAAAGGTAGAACCATGCCTTATATTTATTCTGCAAACCTCAAAATACTGGACATGAGATGTGGACAAAATCTGCATTTGGCTTTGCCGCTTGCTATCTCTGGGTTTTAAGCAAACGCCCCTTACTCTTCAAGCTCCAGTTTCCTCCAAGCCTTATACTTCTAGGAGAATAATCTTGTTGATAAGTCTGAGCAATCAGTGAAAACTGTTCCTCATCTTACATGGCAAACCTCTTAGAGAAGGAATTTCAATTTAGCTGCAGGGGCCAAGTCTAATGCCTTAATTTAGGTGTTAATGTATATTTTCCCACAACCCATTCATATTTAGTCAGAAACATCTGTTGGCCGCTCAGCTAACACTAGGTACTACTCTTGGCCCAGTAGCTTTGGCTACTCCAAGGAAAGGTAATCCCAGGTCCTCTGTTTAAGTAATGACTCCCCACTTCTCTTCTCTTAAGACTCCTGAGGCGTGCCGACAGGCCCGAAGCTACCTTGAGTTTTCTGAGGACTCCGTTCAAGTACCCAGGAACCTGGTTGGTGAGTTGGGGGTGTGTATACATAAAAGAGAATATAGTTGGGGGGCCAGAAGTGAGATTCTCTAAAGTGATCTGGACTTGGCATATCCTCATGGACTTTAGTTTCACAGGAACAAAACAGAATGTAGTAGGAGTGACAAAAATGGAAGAACAAATATCTAGGGCTTATAATATTTTTTCCTATAAAAACTCACCAGGAACTTATAAGTAGGAAAATAATTAAAGTCTGTATATAGAAGCTGGAAGACTGTATCTTAACTATTTTGACTCTTCTTTCTTTGGGGGTGGGAAAAAAAGGCCTAATTCCTTCTTTACCCAATTAGGCAAAGTGATTGGAAAGAACGGGAAAGTGATCCAGGAAATTGTGGATAAATCCGGTGTGGTGAGGGTTCGAGTAGAAGGTGATAATGACAAGAAGAACCCCAGGGAGGAGGTATGGGGCAACTACGCCTCGAGATTGGTGTCGAGAAGTAGGTGGGATTGTTCATGAAGTCATTCTCTGGGGGCTGGGATTTCTAGGGGGTGGAGCACGGGAACTTTTGTTTCCCCCTAGTAGATGTAGAGCCAGAAAGATTTCATTGTTTGGACTTCCATAGGATACTGGGTGGAGTTAATACTTCCATTTGACTTTCCTAATCCATCTCTCCTTCCGTCCGCCCTCCAGGGAATGGTTCCCTTCATATTTGTTGGCACTCGAGAGAATATCAGCAATGCTCAGGCTCTGCTGGAATATCACCTCTCCTACCTGCAGGTACCCAAGCCAGAAGCCTAGGGGAGAAAGATCTGGGAGTAGCAATGGTACTGAGACTGCTGGTGGATAAAGTGAGGAGTAGTGGTGCCCAGTTTATCTCTTGAGTAGAACAGAAACCACTGGGTGAAATTTGGGGCTATGGAGTTCCCTGAATTTTCTTTGCCAATGTCTTCTTGCATTCCTGAGAGTTTAAATATGTAGGGATGGTCAGGGCAGAGAAGCATGAAAGGAGACTGTTCATTGCTCTTATACTTATTTCTCCTTCCATATCTTCCTCCATATTTTACCCAACTAGGAGGTGGAGCAGCTTCGCTTGGAGAGGCTGCAGATTGATGAACAGCTTCGTCAGATTGGGCTGGGCTTCCGCCCTCCTGGGAGTGGGCGGGGCAGCGGTGGCAGTGACAAGGCTGGATATACCACAGATGAGAGCTCCTCCTCCTCCCTGCACACCACACGAACCTATGGGGGCAGCTACGGGGGCCGGGGCCGGGGCCGGAGGACAGGTGGTCCTGCCTATGGTGAGATGGCTCTGGGAGAGTGAGGCGAGCTGTGATGTGTGGGGCATGGCAGAGGGTGGAAGCTTGAGGAAAGGGTGATGGAGATGATGAGGTGATTGGCCGAGGGACTTGTGAGTGAAAAGGAGATGTCTTCTAGTTTGGGGGCCATGATGAATCCTTGGTTGAGGGGAGTAACTTAATTGAGCCCCACTGTGTTCCACAGGCCCCAGCTCAGACCCATCCACAGCTTCTGAGACTGAGTCTGAGAAGAGGGAAGAGCCCACCCGAGCTGGGCCAGGAGACCGGGATCCCCCAACCCGGGGGGAAGAAAACCGGAGGCGGCCAACTGGGGGCCGCGGTAGGGGACCCCCACCTGCTCCCCGACCCACCTCGAGATATAACTCTTCATCTATTAGCTCAGGTACCAGTACCAGACAGCTGGGTTCATTAATGCAGGCCAAAAGGAAAGATGGTAGACACCTGACTCCCAGTTCCTCCTCTTCCTCTAACCAGTGCTGAAGGATCCAGACAGTAATCCGTATAGTCTACTGGACACATCTGAACCAGAGCCCCCAATTGACTCAGAGCCTGGGGAACCACCCCCAGCAAGTGCCAGGCGCCGCCGCTCCCGTCGCCGCCGCACAGACGAAGACAGGACTGTCATGGATGGTGGCCTGGAATCTGATGGGCCCGGCATGACAGAGAATGGCCTAGGTAAGGAGTGTGCCTGGGGTCTAAAAAAAGTAGAGCTAGGTAAGAACTGAGGGATGGTGGATTGAATGCATGACTCTCATTTTCTCATGCCCTGCAGAAGATGAGTCAAGACCTCAGCGTCGGAATCGGAGCCGCCGTCGCCGTAACCGTGGTAACCGTACTGATGGTTCTATCAGTGGAGACCGTCAGCCAGGTCAGCTAACACTGGATGCTAGCATCTTTCCTCAGAGCTGAGAGAATGGGATGTCTCCTAACTGTGAAAACCAGGGGTTGGGGTTCAGTGGGTGTCTAGGGACTGGATACTTGGGTTCCCTCTGAAATGCTTGGTCCTCTGCCTTCCCCAGTGACTGTGGCTGACTATATCTCCCGAGCAGAGTCTCAGAGCCGCCAGCGGCCACCCCTGGAACGTACTAAACCCTCAGAGGACCCTCTTTCAGGACAGAAGGTAGGCAGGCAAGATGTAGTTTACTCCCCATCCCCCTTTTTTGTTGTTTTTTCGGGGGGAAGAAGGCACAAGAAAGTCCTCAAATCTCTTAACTGCTAAGAAGGCTGTGTGGGATGGAGTTTAGACTACATTTAAGATAGTGGAAAGTTCGAATAGAAGAGAGGAAAGTTTGTTACATATTTTCTGGAACCTGATAAGAGTGACTAGAGAGAGTCAGATCAGGGGACCAACCCTTGGGTCACCCAATGCCAGGAGGGTAGGGAAGAATGTTGTTACTGAATTTCTACTGACCACTTTGCTTCCTCTTCATTTTCTTTCCCACTTTCCCCTCAGGGTGACTCTGTCAGCAAGCTTCCTAAGGGCCCCTCAGAGAATGGGGAGCTCTCCGCCCCTCTGGAGTTGGGTAGTTTGGTGAATGGGGTTTCATAAAACCTCCAGCTCGCATCCCTCCCTTCTCCATCTCGCTTGCTGCCCAACACCATGGCCCTCACAGGCCCGACTGACCTGCGCTGGAGCTGCTCTTATCTAGGGGGGAGGGGGGTGGCACAGCAGCTTGGGTACCCCCCAACCTCCAGGAGCTAGTGGAGGGGTGTGTAACAGGGTCATACCCCCCTCCCTCTTGTCCACCCTACCCCCAGGGCGAGGGGAGCCTCTCTCCTTTCCCATCAGACTGGATGTGCCTTTATCCTTTAATGCCCCAATCTCTTTGAACACCCCCATTCTCCGCCTATTGGTGCGGGGTGCTCCTTGACCCACCCAGATTTGACAGTTCAGGGGGCTCCCCTGCTATCCCTCCTCCCATCCTGTACCCCCCATTTCTGGGGCCTCATCACTGTGGAAGACGGGGATAGTAAGGGTATATAGTGGGTGGGAGGCATGGGGAAGGTTTTGGAGTAGAACCAGGGGTGTGTATGAAGGGGGGTGACAAGGTCCCCCAGGGGAAGGGGGACCAACCTTGTCTGGTGGATGAGAAGGCGTATTTATTTTTCACTGTACAGTATTTAAAAAGAGAATAAAAAAATCCAAATGGCTCTCTGGTTCCTACATCTTCCTTGTGCCCAGTTTGGTTCAGCTGTTTTCTTAGGACTCACCAGTCCTGGCCTTGCCCGGCTGGGCCCATTTCCTCTTTCTCCACACCCAGCTCCTCTTGGTGTTCCAAAGATGGTCTTTGGGAATTCCTGACATTCCTAAATTCCCCAGGCCCAGGTACCCTCGTGGTCTAGAGGAGAGTAGCTTGTGGCTTTGCTGCTTTTCCCCTCCCCCAGGTTTGTTGGTGGAGGGAGCTGTGCCACTCCTATAACCCTGAGTCACAGCAGGCTAGGTAGGGCTGCTCCAAGCTGGAGTTGTTCCTGCTAAGAGCTGAGAGCCAAGGCGGTCTACTTAATCGGATTACCTGAGGCCTGAGGCTTGGGCTGGGCCTTGGGCTGAGTGGGAAGCAGGGTTCTCTCCTGATAGCAACTGGGACCTAGGGTGTCCAGCCCCCATTCATGCTGGTTCTCTGCTCTGGATCCAGGCCTTTTCTTCAGCATCCACAACACTGATCTCTGAGCCCAAGAGGAGTTGTCCTGGGGTTCCTGGCTCCCTGCCTCCCACTGTGACCCTGAAGTTTCGAGATAAAACTGGTGGAGAAACCTTTAGGGGCTGGAGTTGGGAGAGTTTAAGTTTTCTCACCTGGAGTGGAGTTGAATCACCACCCAAGCACCTGCTGGGGTGACTCAGGCAACAAAAATGGCCTGTTTCCCTTTAACTGCCAGACTTTCTTGCCTCAAGGGCAGGTCAGGGGTTTGAGGTGCAATGGGCACCAGAAAAGGGTCTGCGATGGGGTGGGGTACTCACGAATTCCTCTTCGCACAACTCTGACCCTGAGGGCTTTTGATTCTCCTGTGCTTAATCCCATTGTGCAAAGGAATTGAATTTAAATTTCCAAAGTTTAAGAAGGGAGGGGAAGACGTGCTAAATTACTGGGGCTGGAAGGCCTGACTTCTAGGTCTTGGGTGGGGAGGGGGCGTGGCGCCCTAAGGGAGTGTTGGGGGCTGGGAAGAACGGGACACCTGGGTCTGCCTGAGGGAGGGGGTTATTGGCGCTTTTAAGAAGGCGCGGTCTGCTGGGAGGGAGTGGGGAGGAGTCGTTAAAAGCTGTTCCTGGGCCTGACCCACCCGCCAGCCACAGACACTGAGGCCAGGTGAGAACTCCGAGGTAGCAGGGGTGGCCGCCAGGCAAGTGCGATACTTCAGAGACAGAGCGCGACGTTGACCACCTCCAGCGAACACCGGGCTGGTGGCTAGCCGCAGGTAGGGGAAGCAGGACTGGGTTTGAGATCGCGTGGCATTAAGGAGAGTGCAACCTGTCCTGTACCCGGTACCAGACAGGATTTTGCGCTCGACTTTTCCAAAGCGTGCTGGATTGGTAGGGATCAGGGGCTCCAGGATAAGGACTCTGAATTTGAAGATGATATATACTTTATAAGGACACGAGTTTCTCTGGAACGATTCCAGACTAGAAAGACACGCTTTAAAGATACCGGTTTTGGGGATCAACGTTTGGCTTTGGAGGGGAGGGTGTAGGTGCCCTCTTAAGGCTTCCCTCCACCCTCATGGCGCTACCCGGTCCCTCACACGACCAGTCCTGGAACCTGGAACCTCCCGCTCCCACGGCCCCTACCTCCTCGTCCTCTGGCTCCCAGGAGCGGGAGGGCTCTGGGAGCCCGGTGGTCTCCGGGGGTCTTCCCTTGGAGAAGGTGAAGCGGCCCATGAACGCGTTCATGGTGTGGAGCTCCGCTCAGCGCCGCCAGATGGCGCAGCAAAATCCAAAGATGCACAACTCGGAGATCTCCAAGCGCCTGGGCGCGCAGTGGAAGCTGCTGGGCGAGGACGAGAAGCGGCCCTTCGTGGAGGAGGCCAAGCGGCTGCGGGCCCGGCATCTGCGTGACTACCCGGACTACAAGTACCGGCCTCGGCGCAAGACCAAAAACTCCGGTGCCGGGGCACCCCACTTCGGCCAGGGAAGCGGCGGCGTGGCTACCAGTGGGCCGGTTTGGGGGCCCGGTTACGTGCCTACTCAGGGGAGCAGAGGCTTTGGATACCAGCCCCCCAACTATTCGACAGCCTACCTGCCTGGTTACAGGTGAGTAGCTAAGGAGCAGGCTGAGGAAGGAAACGGCTGTACTCCCCTCCTGGAGTTCGGGTAGGCCAGACACCAGGGGGCCTGGCTGGCAGGGGCCCTGAGCTCACCCAAGCATAGGCCACTCCTGGGAGTCTCGAGGTTGTCATTGAGGTTTGGCGGGGCACCACCCCCTCTACTTTCAGCACCTTGTGAAGGGTAGGATAGGGGAGTTCCAGTAGCCCAGGGATTTCCTAGAGGATGTTCCCATCTGAACTTGTCAGCAGTGGCCCTGCAAGGGCAGGCCACAGCCCCCTAGATGTTGACTGAGTTCATTATCTACCTACCCGCATTTCCTGTCTCCCCCGCCCCCATTCTGGCCCTGGTGTGACCCGGCTTCCTTGCCCAGCCCCTGGGCTAGGAGAGGCCAAACCCAACTCAGCCCTTTTCTGGCCTGCCATCCCAAAAGAGGAAAACAGGCAGGCAGCACGCAAAGCTCAGCTGCTGAGCCTGCCCTGACAAGGCTGCACTTCTCTTAAGTCAGCCTGGAGTCTGGTTCCAGACCTATGGTACTCAGTAGGGCCTAGATAGCCAGGGATGGGTTGGGTCTACCTGTCTGCCCAGAACTGGTCAGACCTGCCCTCCTATGGGTGTTGGGGACCCTGCCTTGGCACCTCCAACCAGGGAAGCACCCTCTAACCCCAGTGTTTCTCTCTTTGCAGCTCTTCCCACAGTAAACCGGAGGCCCCCTCACCATGCTCACTCCATCAGAGCAACCCTAGGCTCCAGGGGGAGCTGCTCCCCCCTTACAACCCCTACCTACCCCCAGGGTCTCCTACTCCGTACAACCCTCCTCTCTCAGGGACCCCCATGCCCCTAGCCCACCTCTAACCGCCATGAACTTGGACAACCCAGGAAGGGCTCCAACCTCCTTTTTCACCACTGCAAAACCCTTTAGCACTGTTGAACACACAGTTCAGAGCTGACTTGTGGCTCCCCATCTCCCCACCCATGAATGCCAGAGGTGCAACACAACATTTATATATATATTTTTAGGGTGAACACAGTTTTGTATAATTAAACCATGTCTCTGAGTCTTTATTACCCCATCTCTATTCCCCCTCACTGCAGCAGGAACCAGCAGTCTCCACTCCCTTCCGCCTGGACCTGCCAGAGCAGGAACTTCCTCACCCCACCCTGGGGCCTTACCTGAGTCATTCTGTCTTCCTTCCCCCACCCAGCACTGGGGTCCAGGAGACAGTCTCAGCCAGCCTGGCAGAGGTCAGGCATCAGTCCCTAGTCCTTCCCACTGTATAGGCTTTGGTATTCTAGTGCCAGAAGGGAAGTGGGGAGCAGGGGGACAGGGCAAGACTTTTGCCCACAGTAGGTGAGTAGCTGGGAATTGCTAAAGGATGAATCTCAGCCAAATGATTAAATGAGTTAACAGTGCATACACAGGACAGCACACAGTAAGTGTCAAAATGTCAGCCTGAAAATCTCTACTCCCATCCTTTATAAGGATTTGGGTCCAAACAATCCCCGGCTCAAGAGGAATGGGAATGATTAAAAACCACACTAGCAGACTAGCTTAGATGGGAAAGACCCTGAGGTTGGGTGGATGAAAAGAAACATGGAATGGACTCCAGTCGCCAGCTCAGCCCTACTGCTTCTTTTCCTTTGCATTCCAGTAGAAGAGAAGCTGGGCAGTGATGAGGCCATTGCAAAGAGAAGAGACCACAAAGGTTCCAGCCATGAGGGGGTCTCCAGTTTCCTGGGCATGAGACAGAGCTAGGATTACTTTTCATTAAGCAAAAAAAGTTCCAGAGAGCAGCAACTTTTACTCATTAGTTGGGAGAGGTAAGATGAGGTTTTAGTGCCCTCTAGAGGGAAGAACATGCACTTACCTGAATGGAGGTGAAGATTCGGGCCAGAGAGCCCCCAAAGAGCAAAAAGACTGTGATGGCTGAGAGCTGACCCGTGTGCCCATTCTGGTAGTTGGTGGCTGCCTGGACCAGCTAGAAGAAGTTGAGATTCTTTGTTCTGTCATCTGAATTCTTCCCTCACACTTTGAGCTGCCATTCTGCACCTCACCCAGATCCCTCTCCCAACAATTCTTCCCTTGCTCTCAGTACCCACCTTCCCCACCACTACAGCAGGCACACTGGAGGCCTGGAGCAGGGTGACTACAGTCAGGGGTGTCAGTGGTGAAAGCAGCAACAGCAGGACCAGGGCATAGCACGCTAGGAAAGCAACACCTTGGGATCAGGGAGACAAGGAATCTTTATCAACTTCTGGAGTTTTTTGGCTTCCCAAGGCCTGCATTCCCAGCAGGGCTCCCAAGAGCCGCAGCCAGATCTTGGGAAATCCCCAGCACCTTTCACAGTCTGTCCTCTGTAGTGCAGGACCAGGAAGCAGATGGTAACTGTCTGGAGCACCAGGAACAGGGCTTCACCCCAAGAACTGCAGAGTCAAGAGTTAGGAGAAAAAAAGGCAGGCCTGGAAAGAGGCAGGGAAAGCCTCCATAGCCCATCCATCTTAGGACATAATTCTGTTTACTCTGTCCTCCACATCTGTACTGGTTCCTTCCCTCCTGTCTCCCAGCACTCCCCACCTCTGACTTAAAAACTCTGGATCCTGGGCATTCTTGGGATGCTCACCTCCCATCACCTCCACAGATGATGACTAGATTTCCAGAAAGGCTTAAGCTTTTCCTGCCCTTTTACCTTCCTCACCCTAACCCCACTAGACTTGTGGGCATTTACCCCTGGGGGTAAAAGGCAAGCCTCTCACCTGAAGGGGAAGTTGTTGATGATGCTGTAGACCATGGTCCCAGTCAATGCCATTAGTTCCAGCATTACCGACTGGAGGCTCAGCCCTTCAGCACTCTTGGCTCCAAGGATTTTAAACACTTGGGGCAGTTTCACTGTAGAAAAGATAAGACAGTGCTGAGGAGCTGCTATCCTTTAGGAGTTTAATGCAACAACTACTGGGAAAAATGTTACCCCACTTCTAGTCAAAGGACCCATCCAACTTACAGCACTTTAGCATGCTCCCTTCTCCCCCCATCCCAACAACAGCAAAGGAAGATAAAATACATACCCAGAAGTGACCCAGCTACAATGCCCAGCCCCAGGCCTTTGCTGAGGAGAATCTTGAGGCACGGGACTGAGAAGAAAAACAGGAATAAGCAGAGAGGAGACCTCTGGAACTCAGGTCAGGGCTTTCAGGAGACATTCCAGGCCTACAGGCTTAGAGAGCTCCTGTGGACTTGCCACTGCTCCTTAAGACTTTGAATACCCAAACAAGGAAGCCTTGGATTGTCTGGAAGCAGATGAAAAAGGCCTGGTCCTTGCTCCTGCAAATCATATCACGTTCAGATCTGATGACTTTCCAAACCAGCTTTCACCATTCTTTCCCTCTGACCCTGTCTTCCATTCCCCGAAGATTATATCTAAACTTCTTGGTCTGACTTCGCTCCACTGCCTCCTTGTATAAAGCTGAACAATGCCCAAGTGTCCGCTGATCCTTTATTCCCCCTTCACTTTACGTCTTCTCTCTCCAAGGTCTCCTTATCATTCATTCCTGAACCCGCTGTCCTAGCTTTACCCTTCCAGGGCTTGTTTTTATACTCCGGCCACCCACATTTTCTCTAACCTTCAAGCCTTCCCCTCCAAGAAGCTTGGTTCAGCTTCTCAAGGATCATGAATGCAGCTAAAACCAAGTATTTCAGGAGCACAGTGCGGTATCATGAACTTGCATGGGCAGACTGGGAAATCCTCCCAAAGGGTCTGTTGTGAGGTGGGCCTTGCTGTGGAGTTGCCTCGTATAAAAGAGGAAGGCAAATTATCTCAAAATTAGACCATGCACAAATGTGGAGGCTGGAAGGAAAGCCATCAGGATGGTAGGAACCTCTGAAGGTGCCGCTGAAGGCCTGGATCATCATAGGCTTGTAATCAGGTTTAACCTTGTTCCTGAAGGTATAGCGACCTATTATAAGTTGAAACTATTTGATCATATTTTAACTTTGTTTTATAAAATTTGAGTCTTTTGGCCTTTCATTGTCGGTAAAGCATAAACTTCCCGAAGAATTATTTCCACACGTCGACTCGCCCTCTCATCCATGAATGGCGCCCTTCCTCTACGAAGTCCGTGGCACTTCCGCCCCTCTCAGAAGTAACTTCCGCCCAGCACGGCATGCCGTAGTTGTCGCTGTCACTTAGTCCGCAGTCACGCCCCAATTATGCGCTCCAGAACTTTGACCGGATGCCGAATAAAACTCACCGTGAAGCAAGTCCCACTGGACGAAAATTTGGTCGTAGCATTTCTCAGGTAAAAGAATCGGCACCAGCATCCGTTTGAAGGACCCGTCGGCTTCGGCCGCCATATTGCAAAGATAGCTTCCGCCAGTCTTTCCAGAGCGTCATTGACTTTCGGTGCGCATGCGCACTCTGGGCACTTTGCCTCTTGTCTTCCCGCGATTCAACTGGACTGCCCCGTTCCTTCCTTTCTTACGCTACCCCGCCTTTAGTAGCGTTAAATAGGTCTCGTCCAGAGACCACGTTTTGGACACGCCCTCCCTTCTGTTCGAATTTTAAAGCGTGCCAAAGCTGTACGCCTGCGCAATTCTATCTTTCGCGCTTTTGTTTATGCGAGATTTATCCTCCTGGTTTTCTCCGCTTGTCCTGCTCGGCGCCATCTTGTCTTTTCTCAGCTGACTTTACATTGTTCGAAGTTGAAAGAGAAGGAGTGTGAGTCTCCAAAATGGCGTTGGATGGGAGCGCTCTAACTCTATAAATCTTCTTTTCTCGGTGTCTCCGGAGGGAATGGCACCGGCGGGAGCAGGACAGTTGCGCTAAGCAGCCTTTCATGGGCGCGCGAACTGTGGGCATCGCTCATGCTTCTCTCTCATATGGTTCGCCCAGGACTTGGCGAAAGGGTGCGCCAGCAACTGTTGTGCTGGGACAGTGAAGTAGAAGAGGAAGTGGATGGAGAAAGCGAGACCAGTTTCGAGGGAGGGCTGTCCCCCAAATCCCTGCGGAGCCCAAGCCTGGTAGACTCCTGGGAAGCACAGGCAGGATACCCCGATTTCCTTCCCTACCACTTTGCTGGCCCAAGGGCACCACCTCTGGGCTAAGGCAGGCTCCTCTGCCTTCTGTGACCACGTGCTGAACAAGGACTTAGGCTGAGTGGGCCCAGCAGCTCCCCTTGGGAAAGGGCACTTTGGAATACCAGCCAAGAGTGATACCCTCTGCCACCCTGAGCTGGGACACCAACTCTTAGCCCTCCTGGTGGAGCGGGGCTTGGCCCTCATGCTCTGGCCACTGGGTGCCTGCTACGAGTGCTATGCTGTCTTGCAGCCCTTTGGTTACTCGCCTGTGTGCCAGTCTCAAAGTGATAGGGCCGGGGGCCCCAGGGCTGTGGACAGGTAGGGGTCTGTGGCTTGTTAGGAATAGGGCCGCGTAGCTGGTGAGTGGCAGGTGAATAAGTGGTTTTGTCTCTATTTGCAGCTCTTCCCCAGCACTGGCATCACTGCCTTAGCTCCACTTCAGATTATCAGGCATTAGATTGATAGGACTACTGGTCCCTGGTGCAAAAAAGGTTGGGGATCACTGTTATAGGGGATGTCTGTGAGGCAGTGGTGGGCTGCTGGGCCCTGCCAAGTGCAGACTGCCCTTAATGGGGTGAGCGTCCAGGTCCCGGTGGCTTTTCAGTAGCCTTATGGCGCTCCTACAACTGAGAGGGCTCCATTCTGGCCCTGAGTGATTGCACCACGGCCTACTATAAAGGGCAGGAATGGCATCCAGTGGTGGTGCAGGCTGTGGCTGTATGCAGGCCCTTTTGTGGAATCTGGACAGGCTGCCCTGGAGGTGCCACCCACCACCACTAGATACACCACCACTGGGGACATCAGGTTTGGTTCCACGGGTGGCCCAGGGTGGTGTTACTAGGAGCACAGAGGAAAACTGGTGGTCAGAGTACCCACTGCTCCCATTGTTGATGAAACCCTTTGCAGGTGAGATAGGAACATCCCAGGTGCATTAAGGGTTTAATCAGGCTGTTCAGCCAGCCATGGACATGGTGGGTAGGGCAGGCATTCTGTGCTGAGGAGCCATTTGCACAGCTTTTGGAAATGAAATGACATATGTGTGACCATCCCACCCACACTCATTGCTATTGTTGCCTACTTCCCGTATAATAGTATATAAGGGTTGGGAAGAATACTGTCAAGATGGGATGGAGGCGAGGGGGAACCACCGGAGCAGCCAGAGGCCCCAGCTGAGGCAGATTCAACACCAGCTGTGCCAGACTTTGTGAGGTGAACACATGAAAGTATTTGGTCACATACTGACATTTTCATCCCTCCTCACCAGCTGTTTCTGGCTCAGATTCAACCATGGAAGGCACAGAAGTTTATGACAAGTTGTTACTGCAGCTTTTAATTCTGACAGTAAGGACAAAGAAAACCAAAGACAAAGATTTGAGTGGGTTTTACTATTCTCTCACTGGGGATGGGAAAGCAGAATCTGTCACATTTAACAAACATCTCCCCTTCGGCCCTTCTAATTGCATTATCTCTACATTTTTGTTCTTCAAGACAGAGAGGGATGATAACTGTCTCTGAGTCAGTCGAGTGGTGAGAAATGAGGACACCCCTGGTTGAGACAGATGCTCAGAGGGGCTGGTAGGTGGGTGGGCGTCTCCGGAAGATACAGAAGGTAACAAGCACCATGGTGAGGAGGCCGAGGGCAATCAAGCCGATGATAAGAGGCAGCAAGATGGATTGGTCACTGGGACAAGAGAAACCTGGCAGAAAGATATGGGAATTAGGCATCCAATGGCGGTGGCTGGGATAAAGGTGAGAAGGAGGAATGTGGGGGACATTAGGAAATAGAAGATTGGTGAGGAGCTCACCTAGATGACAGTACAGTAAATGAAAGGGGAGAATGGGCAGTCTTGTAGAGGAGGGAAGGACAGTTGCCCTATAATTGACAAGTCTGAGAGAGGAAATTTTGGGGTGTAAGAAAGGAGATGATAAGCCTGGAGTAGGGGTTTTCAGTGCAGTGGGAGAGTTCCAGGAGGGAAGGAGTAGGTCTTACTTGGCCCAAAGGCCCCTGAAGGGGACAGGTGAGCAGCTTGTAGCTTCAGGAAGAGCAGGTCAAGGTGGAAAGCTGGTGAAAGAATGATGCTTTGGTTTCTGCAACTGAAGCTCTGGCCCAGCGGGGCTTGGAGTTCTCGAAGGGATGAATTCTGAACTGAGAATGTCCACTCTAAGAGAGTGAGGAAGGGTCAGGTCCATATCTACGTCACCCACCCCCCAGTTTAGGTCCCTTCAGGAGTCCTGTGCAAGTGATGAGAAAGGGAAAGTTGCTCACCTGCTGCCTGTGGGAAGGATACATTGTACTCCACAGCCACGTAGTTCAGGTAGACAGTGCTCTGCGGTGGCTCCTAGAGAAGTGACCAGGAAGGCTCAGGGCAGCAGGGGAGAGTGGTATCCATATTCACAGAGTAGGTAGTACAGCAAAGGACTGGGAGGGACAGGGTACTTGGAAGGTGAGAGGGATGAGGGTAGGGTACCTTCTTGAATCCAAAGCTGAGCTGTCCATAGGGGAATGAGAGAAGCAAATGGGCATGGGCACCCTCACAGCCCCCCTGGGCCTTGGTTTTGTTGGGGTTCAGTACAGAGATGCCCCAGGCCTGTGGAAGTTAAAGATGAGAGGGTCACAAGGCTACACAGCTGTGCCATCCAAAGTGCCTTGTTCCCTTCATCCCCACGCTGCATTTGCCCTTTTCTACTCTTCCTTTTTCCTTTCCGAACCATAGCAAAGGGTTCCTTCCACTCCTGTTCTCCATTGTCTTTTAGCTTTACCTTTCCTCCACCCTGGGTTGGGTATAGAATTCGAATTCGAATCTCAGCTTGGAGATGGACACAGGGCTGGGAACCATTAGTTCCAGTGTAGTCTCCTACATCTGCCTTGGAGCCCGGGCTAGGACTGGGAGAGGGTGGAGGTGGTCTTGGGTGGGGAGAACTGGTAGGGGATCCTGGGCTGGTGGCAGTGCTGTTGCTTGTTGTTGGATGAACTGTGGCATTTCCGTGGCTGGTGGTGGTAAAAGGATTTTGAGTGGCTGTTGTGGGCTCGGGGCTGATGGTGCCTGTGGTAGTAGTTCTGTGGCTGGTTGTTCCAGTGCTTGCTGTGCTTTCTGTCGCTGTAGGTGTCACCGTGAAGGATGGCAGCAGAGTGGCCGATTTTTTGTGAGGACAGTAATTTCCTTTTCCTTGGGCTTTCAGCAAAGGAAGACTGGTTAGCAACCCAAAGAGCAGACCTCTCCCCAACGGCTCACTCCCCTTTGGTCCCTTCTTACCTGCTAGTAGCTCCAACAAGGCTCCCAAGAAAAGTACAGCCAGCTTCATGGTAGAACAGCCTCACCTAGAGTCCACTAGGTTGTGTCAGTACCAGCTGCTTGCTCAGTCAACCCTATTCCCTGCCTTCTTTTGGAAAAGGAGGAAATGAAAGTCTATGACTTCCCTTAACTGAAATAACTCCACCCCCAACTTGACTCAGGCACCTCAACCCGACACAAATCTTAGTCACTCAATTTTTGTCACAATTAGCCCTGGCTTCACAAAAGTAGTTGTCAGGATCAAGAAATGTCATGTGAGGAAAATGAGTTTAAATTCTGGAGTAGTAGATCCTCAGAGTCCCATTTGTCTACCTCAGCAAAACAATGTGGCAAGCAATGACAGGACCACTTGAGAAACAGCAGCGCCTCTGTTGTTTCCAGAAAAAATGAATTCCCTTTTCCCTCACCATCACTTCCTCTTGGATGAGACATGTGAGGCACTTGTGATGGTGATTGCCCAATCTCTTATAGAAGGGTCACACTATCCAGTTATGACCATTGTTAAAAAAAGCAACATTAACAAGGGATAATGTCAGCTAGGAGGGAAGCTATACCCTATAGCAGGTGGGAGGGAAGGGGAAGAAATGAGAGAAGCCCAAACAGGCAGTTTCGAAGTCATTTTATTCAGAATTTTGTGTGTTTCCTGAATCAATAAATACTATACAAAACAATGTAAAAATGGCTACCATTTTTTCTCCCCTACTCCCCCCCCACCTGGGGACAATCCCCTGGGGCACCTAACTCAGGGGTTCTCCCTCCAGATTTGGTCCAGCAAATGAAGTCAAGTGACATTAAAGCCCCCTTGAATCATTTTCAGAGGAATTTGGCTGGGGTAAGGAGAGTCTCTGGTTGACTAGATTAGGGAAATGAATTAGTGTTTTGGGGAGAAGAGACGGCGCCTGGGGCAAGAGCCTACCCCAAAGAAGAGGGTATCTAAAATGTTCACTGTTCCTTCTTTGCCTCAAAAAGTGACATTTATTCAAGGAAAAAAAAAAAGGAAAAAAAAAAATGACAAGATGTCCATCCCTTGGCTCCCTTCCCTCCCCCCTCCTCTCCTCAGCCCAAGGACTGAACCCTGGCTGGGGTAAGGTGACAAGCCAGCCCCTCAGATGAGGTCAGCAACATTGAGGGGCATTTCCTCAATGGAGGTGTTGTAGAAGGTCTCAATGTCTCGAAGAGTCCTCTTGTCTTCTTCTGTCACCATGTTAATAGCCACACCCTTACGGCCAAAACGTCCACCACGACCAATTCTGGAAAACAAGGACACCTTAAGATACACAAGGGTAAGGTAAACAGGGAAAAACAGAAGTTTCAGCCTAAGGAAGATTGGGCATGAGGGGGTTGGGCAAATACTCACCTGTGGATATAATTTTCTCTGTTGGTGGGAAGGTCATAGTTGATGACTAAAGAAACCTGTTGCACATCAATACCTCTGGCCTATGGCAAGAAAGATGACAGCTTCAACATGTTGAGTAAGGACACAATTCTACCCAGAAGAGATTGAGGACTTAAGTATACATGTAGGCAGCCAAAGGAAGGCAAAGGAAACATATCCCCTTTTCCCCAGAACACCTGAGGCACGCCAGATTTTATTCCAAGTTGCTACTTTCCTGAAGAGGGGCACTAGTAACAGCCCCTTGGAGAGGGAATCACCTTGGTTTCTCCCTTCAATCCCAGTTTTCTCCAAATTCCCTTTTACTCACCAGCAGGTCAGTGGTAATCAATACTCTGCTAGAACCGGAGCGGAACTCCCTCATGATTACATCCCGTTCCTTTTGGTCCATATCTCCATGCTAGAAAATAGAACAGTTTAACAGGTATACTGGTTCTGTGGACTGGCTGTAAGTGGGACACTGGCACATACACACTGTTGGTAAAAAGGTAGGGAGAACTCACCATGGCAGAGACGGTGAAGTCTCGGGCGTGCATCTTCTCAGTGAGCCAATCAACCTTTCTTCGAGTGTTGATGAAGATGACAGCCTGGGTGATGGTGAGGGTTTCATATAAGTCACAGAGTGTGTCCAGCTTCCACTCCTGGGGGTGGGGGCGGGGGAGAAAAAAAATCAGTCAGGGGCTATACCCAACAACTTACTACCAGGCCCGCCTCCTGCACTGGGCCCCACCTCTCGTTCCACATTGATGTAGAATTGGCGGATACCCTCCAGGGTCAACTCTTCTTTCTTGACAAGAATTCGAATAGGATCCCTCATGAACTTCTTGGTCACCTCAAGCACATCAGAAGGCATTGTAGCTGACAGCAAAACTACCTAATGGGGAAAAAGCAGCCTCAAGATAGGAGATAGTGCATACTATCCTTCACTAGATACCACCTAAAACAGAAGCTAATACATAAAAACACTTGAGAACAGACTAGAATCTTTATGATTCCTCTGGCACTTGATATTGCTTTTATTTCCCCACCACACCACAACCTATAAAGGATAAGCTATATAGGCAACGTTCTAAAAGTCTTTCTCACCTGAGTGTTGCTGTTGAGCTTCTGGAATATGTCATAGATCTGGTCCTTGAATCCACGGCTTAACATTTCATCAGCTTCATCCAGTACAAACATCTTGATGTATTTAGGAGCTACAGAAAAAATGTATTAACAAGCAATAATTAGGGAAATGTAAAATGTTTAACTTTCCCAATACAGAACCAGGAAGGGACAAGTGGTTTGCTCTCAGAATTCTAAGATTGATCCTTTGCCTGGGTCACCCCTGTCAGGCCAAACAGCCCGGGGAAGTAGAACACTACCTGAGCTGCAACAGGGAAGCCAGGCTCAGATGACACGCATGGGGTTCATCACAGAGCAACTCTTTCAGAAGGGAAAACTAGCCTCACTGGGAATAAGATTGTGGCTAAGTGGAAAGACTGGGAAAGCTACAGAAGAGGGAAGTGACCCAGAGGACTAGAAAATTGAGATACTCACACAGGTATCTCCGGTTAAGCATATCAAACACACGGCCTGGGGTACCGACGATGATATGGGGAGCTTCCATTTGCAGCTTCTGCACCTCAGCACGCACATTGGTGCCCCCAATACAGGCATGGCAGGAGGCACCCATGTAATCTCCTAATGCCATGACTACTTTCTGTATCTGAACACACAAAAAAGTGCTATTATTAGCTACAACTGTGCCAGGCCCCATTTTAAATGCCTCTTATGTCATATTTTTTTTTTCCGAAATCAGACATGCACTATTACTAAAACTTTCTTTCCATGTGAGAAAGAGGCCACTTAAACACATCTAGGATCACACTGCCAGTTAACTGGAAGAGACTCAAGTCTTTGTACTCAGTCTGGCTCTTAAGAATACACTGCTTTGCCATAACAGCCCTCTGAAATATGGCCTCTTACTATACCAGACCCCTAACTTTCTAAAAGCCAATTGTGACTCACTTATACTGATCTCAAAATCTGTTTTATGTGTAGAAAAACATATCCGTGTCCTGTTGCACTAATGCCACGAAAACCACGCTAGGTGGTATTTTCACTCTTTAAGACACACAATGATTGCATCTCCACAGAACATTTTAAGATGACTCCCCCTAAAAGCCTCAAGTAGTAATCAACTTATAAAGCCAATGTTTCTAATCTCTCCCCAAGACCTAGGAAAACAGTCCAGCAATACGATTTTATGTGCCCCAGGCATGAAATAGCTCTGGCCACCAATCCAGGCATCAAGCTAGGATGAACAAAGGACTGTACATCTGCTTTGCCCCTGACTGATATAAGAGCATCACCACAAATCAGGTGTCTCCTTGCCCATAGCCAGGGGGTTTGTTCATAAAAAAGCCACCAAACTTGCCTAGCCAGCCAAGCTCCACCCAGCAGCCTTCCCATTTGACTCAGGAAATGGGTGTAGGTAAGTGATGCTTATTTATATTTGGGTAGAAAAAAACTTCTAATTAATCCAGCAAGTCTTTAGAGATCTAGAAGTCATCAATTGATTTTCTTCACTTTAGGTCATCTCTTGGGTCAACTTGCCCCATACCTCAGTTCTTCCAAGGTTGTGCTGGTTGGGGAATACACTGATTTTTGGGTTATGCCAATTATTCTTAAATCAGCCCTTCAAGGGAGGAAAAAGAAGCTACTCTCTCACCTGCTGTGCCAACTCTCTAGTGGGTGCCAGGACCAAGGCCTGAGTGGCCTTCAGATCCAATTCAATCTGTTGCAGAATTGATATGGCAAAAGTGGCCGTCTTTCCAGTCCCAGATTGGGCTTGAGCGATCACATCATAACCTAAACAAATCAGGAGAAAAATTTGATGTAGTCGAGGGCACAAAGAACACTCAAGCCCTCGGTTAATGATATCAATGAGCAACCAACAGAGGTACGTACCAAGCACAAAGTGCTTCAGACTTCATTCTTATCACAACATAGTACCCAAATGCACATATTTGGAAGCCAGATCAGGTTATTAAATCATTAAGCACTACATGAAGTTGAACTAAAAATACAGCTATAAATTATAGAGCAAAGAGAAGCTGGCTAAAATACTACCTTCACTGAAAACTCAGCAATGTGTGTCCATGGCATTAACCAGGCATGGGCACAGACCAAAAAAGCCCAGCTGGGATAAACATGGCATCACTTCATTCCTGGCTAATGAGACAAGCACCATCAAAACAGGTACCCCTTTCCTCAGGATAGAGACAGTCCGGAACTTGTTCTAGGGCAGAGGAGGCTTACCCTTGATACAAGGAAGAATGGCTCGCTGCTGGATGGCAGAGGGCTTCTCAAAACCATAGGCATAGATGCCACGGAGGAGGGACTCCGAGAGGTTCATGTCATCAAAGCTGTCAACAATCTCATTCCAGTTACTCTGCAGGACACAAAAAATTAAAGTGATAACGTGGAGGTCCACACCGGATCAAAGTAAACCTTGTGCCTTCACCAAAGCTTCAGAGCCCACAACCTCTCCTCTCCTTCCTCCAGGGAACCCAGCTGGTTCTATATGGCTTGGGAAATCATTCTAAGGGTCAGTCCACCTGTAAATGAGACTGGAGACTAGAAAGATAGAACTCCACCTGAAAACTTTGTCTTATTCATACTTTCAGGGACATAAATATTTTAAACAAATCCCCATAAAGCATTCAATGAGGAGCGCTTAGCTACTTAGAAGTTCGACTATACATTAAATATAAATCTTTGGTTCCAGTTTTAGTCTTAAATCACTGAACGACCACTCCAAGAAACCAGGAAACAAT